CGCAGCCAATTTTTAATCCATGTTGCTACTTGAAAGTCTGTGTGCAATACATCTATGACAGTACCTTCGCAAACCACAATTTCTTAAACTAACTTGGGAGTTTTTTTTAAACTTGATTTTTCCCCTTTTAAATCTATCAATTCTTCCAAATCAATCCACCACCTTCTGTGTAACTACTAATCATATGAGTAATTATCCCTAGGAGCTTCCCAACCACAGAAGTTAAACTGACTTTGGTTGCTGGATTGACCCTTTCAAACTTTCTTGAACAGGGCTGTAATGTTCAGTTTTTCATTTGGCACTGGCATCTGATTGGCAGGGCACTGGCCAATGTCCATTTCTGACTTTCTTAAATCCTTTGTATTTAATGTAGCCCTCATGTCTGGTCAACATTAAATACCAATGGTCTGTCCAACACTTCTACCTTTATTGATTTTGAACTCTACTGTCAGAATTCTCTCCATCGCTGTGGCTTGGGTAGCATCTGTCTTTGGCAAAGTATTCATTAATACCTCAGCCATGTCCCCACCTTTGGGTGTAAATCCTGTTTTTTGGTCCCTTGTCAGCCTTCTTACTATTTCTATGGCTATGGAAGACTTTGAGACACCGAAAGAAGAGGCTGAAGAAGAATTTTAATAAGTATAGTGAAAGGCCAAGAACCTGGCATGATTGAATATAATGTGGACAGATGTGGCTATTCACTGGCAGGAGGAACTGAGGTGAAGTACATTTCTTCTCTGGCAAGAGGTTGAAAAGTGTAAATGTACAAAGGGATTTAGGTGTCCTTGTTAAGTCCCTGAAGCTAACATGCAGATGCAGCAAGCTATTAGGAAGGCTAATGGAATGGTAGCCCTTGTTGCAAGAGGATTTGAGCACAAGAGTATAACATCTTGTTTTTGAATTGTAAAGGAGTTCTTGGATTGTATCTGGAATACTGTGTACAGTTTTGGTTTCTTTATCTCAAATTCTCCAGACTTGTTTCTAGGATGGTAGGACTGTCCTATGAAGTGAGTTTGAGCAAACTAGAGTTTCAGAATGAGTGGTGATGTCATTGCCCCTTTATTTTGTAGGTTTCAGATTGGGTAGATGCAGGTGACTAACTTCCCCCAGTAATGGAGTCTAGAACCAGGGAGCATGATTGTAAAAATATTGGGATGCTTGCTTCCAAGATGAGAATTTCTCTTCACAGGGTTGTGAACCTTAGCAGTCATCTACCACAGAGGGCAGTGGAAGCTCAGTCCTTGAGTACGGTTAAGGTAGACATTGATAGGCCTCTCAATACTAATGATTAAAAGGGTTATGGGGATGGGTAAAAGGCATTGAAGTGCTTGATCAACCATGATCATATTGGATGGCCACCTCCCATTTCGATGATACTACATTAGCCTCCGATTCTTGGGAGCTCAAGCCAGGAACTCGTAAACATTTGGTGTATATGGTTTGGTTCAGTGCCCCATTGTTCTTTCCTGCAATATACTTGCACTTCAATAACTACACATTGTACCAAAGTGTAGACTAAGTTAATGGAAACAGTTTCAACTGTAGCAGTGGTTCAGAGACTCATAATTTTGAGGCTTTGCTGTGACCTTGAAATTATAAGAGCTTGATTTGTAGCCTGCCTTTTAATATAATAGTCTGACTGAACACTTAAGTACTTCATTAATCCACAACTATATCTCAGCATAGCTGTTCAATCACACCTTAGATTTGGCAATTTTTATTTCAGTTCTTTGTTTTCTTCGCTTATTTCCACTAAATGCAAGGAAAAGGAGGCAATGGCCGTATATATTGCCACTAGTCCAAAATCAGAAACCCAGAGTTTGCTCTGAGGTCCTGGGTTTGAATCCAGCTATGGTAGATGTTGGAATTTGAATTCGCTGAAGTCTTAAAACAAAAACAAAGTCCATCTGGTCCATTAATGGCCTAAAGTGAGGGAAACTCATCTTACCTGGTTTGGCCTACATGTGGTCGACACAAGTGTAGCAAGTCATCCAGTTGTTACAGTTGCTAGAAAATCTCAAAGGGAGGAATGAAACTAGACACACACCACTTGGTATCAACTAAGGACTTGCAAAGGAATGTTAAACATAGCCCTGACGACTCCTAAAATGTCTTCCTAACTGGGGGCTAGTGCTAAAATTTTGAGCAGTCTGCAGACTAATCAAGCAACAAACTGACAGTCAATGTCCCAGACACTGGCAGGACACAGATCAGCAGAGGTGGTGAAAGTGGTATGCATTTGGAAGGATGTTGGTCTAGAGGTCCTCCCCCCATTGACTCCAGATCCCTGAAGTCTTTGGCAGATCAGTCATGGGAGAGGAAATACTCTGAAGATTACGACCTCTTGGCTGATCAGCCATTACTCCATGTTGAACAGCACTTAAAGGAAAGAATGGCAAGCATGCAGAATATACTGAGTGGGGATTTCACTTCTTTAAACTAAGTGTAATTTGGCAGTACCGTTACTGATTGAACTGCTAGACTGAGTCTGTGACAGGGAACCAACTAGAGGCTTTTATAAAAAAAAAAAAAAAAAAAAAAAAATCTTTAATCTACCTGCTTGGATACATTTATCCATGACACTGGTGGGAGTGACTACCATGCAGTCTTTGGAGATAAAGTTTTTTTTGTTGTCTTTTGAGGATGCTGTACATTGTGTTGTGTGGCACTACCACCATGTTAAGTAGGATAGACTCTGAACAGATCTAGCAACTCCAGACTGGGTGTCCATGACATGTTGTGAGCCATCAGCAGAATCTCACTCCCAACAATCTATACAACTTCACGCCTGGCATATCCCATAGTCTTCACTTGCGATCAAGCCAATGGATCTGCGCTAGTTCATTGAGGAACAGTACCAGACATACCTAAAACTGAAATGTCAAACAGCATAAGAAGCAAGTGATGGGCAGAGCTAAATCATACCATAACCAACAGATCAGATTTAAGCTTTGGTCCTACCACATCCAGTTATGAATGGTGACGATGATTTAACAATCGCTGAACCCAGCGGTTTGTCAAATTTCTCCATTCTGAAAAATGGGGAAACAAGACGTGTGCAAAAGGCAAGGCTGAAGCATTTGCAGCAATCCTTCGATAATCCCAGCATCACATGTCACTCTTTAGCCATTTTTTCACTCATGACCTTATCACATGTGAAGAAACTATCCAAGGCACTAGATACTGCAAAGGCTATGAGACCTGACCACATTCCAGCAATTGTACTAAAGATGTGCTCCTGAACTTGCTCCCCTACCAAGCTATTTTAGTACAGCTATAACACTGGCATCTACCCAGATATGTCCTGTTTAAGCGCAGCAGAACAAATCCAACCTATCCTATTTCGGCCCCGTTTGTCAAATCTTGTTTTATCAATAGTGATAACGTGTGACGAATTGTGCTATTAAGCAGCGCTTGCTTTTAATAACCTGGTCAATGGTGCTTGGTTTGTATTCTGTCAAGAACATTCAGATCCTGACTTCATTACAGCCTTGGTTCAAACATGGACAGAAGAGCAGAATTCCAGAGGTGGGGTGGGAGAGACAGCCCTTGATATCAAGGCTGCATTTGACTTGGGCTCCTTGATGTCACATGTTAAAACTTGTCAGGAGTCCTCAGGAAAGCTCTGTCTCCATGAGTCATACCCAGCACATAGGAAAATGATTGACCTCCAGCAACTACAATCATTTCCAGTCCAGAGTATCTCTGCAGAAGTTCCTCAGGATAGTGTCTGATATAGTATCACTTTCAGGTGTTTCATTTAGTGACATTCCCTCCTCCATAAAGTCATTGTTGACAATGCTTGCTGGTGACTTGTTAAGCAGCTAGTATACAAATGCAGCAAGACCCTTGACAATGTCCACCCAAATCTAGATAATTTGAGTATCAGTCACACTACAGAAGTGGCAAGAAATGGCCACCTCCAACAAGACAGAATCCAACCATTTGGCCCTTGACATTCAATGGTGGTGCCATCGCCTAATCCCCCCCCAGTAATCAATATAGTCAGGTTACCATTGACCAGAATCTGCACTGGACTAGTCACACACATCTTGGTTACAAGAACACATTGGAGGCTAGGATTCCTACAGCAGGTAACCCCAAGCCTGACTCCCCAAGAGTCATTCTGCCAGCTGCAAGACACCAGTCAGGAATGTGATGGAATGCTCTTCTCTTGCCTGTATGAATGCAGTTCCAAGCAGTGTTTACAATGTACAAAATGCACTGCAGAAATTCACTAAGACTGTTTAGACAGCATATTCCAAACTCCTAACCACAACTTTCTTGAAGGACAAGGACAACAGATACATGGCTGTACCACCAATTGTAAGTTCCCTCCAAGCCACTCAAAATATCCTGACTTGAAATATATATTGCCATTCCTTCAGTGTTGCTGTATCAAAATCCTAGAGTCCCTTTTTAATGGCACTGTCAGTGTACCCAAACCCCCCCCCCCACCACTGCAGGTCAAGAAGGCAGCTCACGACCACCATTAGAAATGGGCAACAAACGCTGGCCCAGCCTGTAATGCCCATGTTCCATTGAATAAAATAAAATTTGAATCTGCAATCTATCCTCTTGAAATGTTTGAAGCTTTTGTTTATCTAGTCCAAGCATGCTTTAACATGCAAGTTCAAATCAACTTTAGAATATGAGGGTCTGTATCAGATAAGCAACTTTTAAATCCATGCTACTGGTGTTTCCTCTTTTTTTTTGTTTTTGGTGCTATATCCTTTTGCCTGCTTTTCTTGTCTCTAGTTCCTTCTGATCTACACTTCATCAATTGGTCATTCTTCATAAAACTTTGGTTCATTTGTCAAGTATGATTTGGCTTTTTCAAGCTGATGCTGACTATCCTTAATTAATCCATTTCTAAATGTTTGAGATAAAGGTTGCTTGTTATTCAATTTTCTACAAAATATACTTGGATGTTAACTCCGAGCAAACCTATAGTTGTGGAATTGTGCAATATTCATTTAATAGAAGATGTTCCTTTTTAGGCTGCTGAACTTGCTGAATTTACAGCCAAAATTGCACTTCTGGAGGATGCCAAGAGGAAGAAGGAAGCAGAGGCTACTGAATGGCAGCAGAAAGTAAGTAATTCAGCTCTGATTACTGTTTTATTGTATTTGAAATGCATGAATTATCCAAAACAACTTGGAGTACAGACTATTGATCTGAAGTAGTGCTGCATCTAAAGTCAAGTGAATTTTATCAAGGGGCCTCTGATCACTATTGCTAATTCAGGTGGGATTTGGGAATTGACTTGTTTTGTTAATCTGTTAACCAGGCTGTAACAGCACAGGAGGACTTAGAAAAAACTAAGGAGGAATTGAAAATTGTGATGACAGCTCCACCACCACCACCACCACCAGTTATTCCACAAGCTGAGAATGAGCATGATGATGAGCAAGATGAGAACAATGCTGAAGCCAGTGCTGAACTATTGTCTGAAGGAATAGCAAACCATCGCAGTGAGGAGGAACGCATTACTGAAACACAGAAGAATGAGCGTGTAAAGAAACAACTGCAGGTGAGCGGATTAGCTGGTAGACTTCTAATTTGATTTATTGTAGTCACATGTATCTAAGTAAAGTGAAAAGTTTTTGTTTTACAAGCAGTACAGGCAGATCATAGTGAATAAGGTCATACATGTCATAGGGCTCTTACAGCGAGGCATACAAGGTTATGGCTGCACAGGAGGTACACAAAGCAAAATTGATGTTATTTGAAACTTAGGTCTAGTCAACAGCTTAATAACAGCAGGGAAGAAGCTGTTCTTGAACCTGTTGGTGCATGTTCAAGTTTCTGTATCTTGTGCATGGCATATACATCACAAATTTGCAATCCTCAAACTGGAAAAGACAAGCAACAAGTAATCCTGTTCAGTTCACAGGAATGCCTGTAATGGCATAAGATTTAAGAAGCATCAAATCAAAGTAGTATTGTCCTGAACTCTAATGGAATTAATCATTTTTGTATGTTAGGTTTACAATTTCAGTTTTCAGTTCTTTGTTTTTATTAAAATTGTACTTTCGTCTTTGTTCTTAACAGTTTTTAGGAAAGCTGTTCTGCAAAAAAAGACTGCAATGTACTTTGGCTGTGTATGCCACTCAATCAGCTCAGCTGGGTTTGTAAATCAGCAAGAACTCTTTTTACATAGCCTTAAAGTGTTCTCGTGTCATTGAGAAAATACAGCTGCTGCAATTTTTCTGAGCTTTGTGCAGTATGGGAGATTATAGAGAGACTAGTGCTGGGACCACAATTACTTGCACTTTTCTCATTCAAGTCACTAATAAATATTCTATGTACTATAGCCAAGTTTGCAGATATCATGTAGGTGGGAAGGCAAATGGTGAGGATGACTCAAAGTCTGCAGAGAAATATAGGCAGATTAAGTAAATGGACAAAAGCTTTGCAGATGGAGTTATAATGTGGGTAAATGTTAGGTAATGCAATTTATCAGGAGTAGAGGAACTGAATATTTAAATTGAGACTGCAGAAGACTACAGAACAAGAATTTGCGAGTTGTTGCCTGTAAATCTCTCAAAGCCAGCCTCCCAAGGTCAGTGGGTAATAAAGACAAACTTCCATTCAAAGGGAATGGAATGTAGAGTTTTGGCTAAAACTACACAAGGTACTAGTCAGACCATAACTAGAATACTGAACAATTTTGGGTCCCTTTTTTATGGAAGGAAAGTTACACAAGGCTGACTCCAGATATGCAGGGGTGTGCCTTGGAGAGGTTGAGTAGATTGTGCCTGTATTACTGGAATATAGAAGAATGAGAGGTGAAACATGCAGGATTCGACAGGATAGATGTGGAAAGGTTATTTTCCCCTTGTGGGAGAGTGTAGGACCAGAAATGAGGTATTGCTCATTTTGGGACCAGATGAGGAAGAATTTCTTGTAGTGAATTTATGGATTCTTTACTGCAGAGTTGTTGAAGCTGAGTCATTTAAGGATATTTAAGATGGTGATAGGCTTTTAATCTGTAAGGGAATCAAGGGTCATGGTGGAGGGGAGGAGTTGGTGGTGTGAGAGGCAAGAAAGTGGAGTTGAGGATTATCAGATCAGCATGATCTCAGTGGAGCAGACTAGCCTACTTCTGCTCCAATGTCTTTTACAGGTGTAGTTGTTTGTCTGAACCTAGCTTTACAGGGATAGTGATTCCTTGCATTTAGTGAAGGATTTTGTTGCCAATAGATTTGTTTCCAGCTACACTTTTTTTTTCTTAGTGTTTGTATGCTGCATGTTAATATTTATACTTTGCATTACAGCATGTCAACTTGGCAACTTTTTAGAAGCTGGACATTGTTACTTTTAGCCCCGTTAAATACCAGCAACCAATCCTGTGCATACTGGAACCTCGCACATTCTGTGGATTAAGTATCTTTCTTTGCCTTCACTCAATGTTACCTTGTACCATCATTGCATTTAAACGTGCCTGTCTTCACCTATCCCTCTTCTTTCTTCACCTCCATTTTTTAATCTCTGCACTTTAACCCATTACAATTCTAATCTTTTGTCCAGTTCTGATGAAAGGTCACTTATCTGAAATTTTATTTCTATTTCTTTACCTACAGATGCTGCCTGACCTCCTGAAAGCTTGCAGCATTTTGTATTTGTTTAGTTTCCAGTCTGCAGTGTTTTGCATTTGTTCTTTCCTTCTAATTTGGCTTGCCAAAGGTTACATTAGCAATCCCTTTGAAATGTCTTTCTGGGAAGAATGGGCCTATTTCCACTTGGGAGCCTGAGAGATTTTTTTGTTGCAATATCTGGGTCCATTCTTGCATAGACTGCTGAAGTGAGCCTTAGTTAATGCACTGAACATTGTTACACTGTTGGGATTCCAGTGAGAAAGAGGAGAAACCTGGCCAGCAGTTGTTATAAATTCTGAGGCTTACTACCATGGTGACTGATTTGCTGATGGAAAGAATTCCAATGTGTTTGTTTATGCTTTTGAAGGGAGAATATTGGCTGATCTCTGGAAGATTCTGCCCCTTTGGAATTCTACATGTCTGTTTTGGTTGAAGTCTAATATTAGCCTTCCTGGTGAAGCTATTTAGTCCTCATTTTAGAAAAGAAACCCGTTGTTGAAATAATGGCATTCTTTAAAGTGTTAAAGATAGACTCTCTTTTTGGTCAGTTTCATTACACAACTTTTTCAGAAACAAGAATGCTCCCTGGATGGAAGATTGCAGCACTTCAAAAGCCAATGTTTAACACTTTTTTTTTGTGTGTGAGAGTGACTGACTGCCGTGTAGAACAATGAATGTTTTGGTTGGCTGATGCTCGTGACAAGACTGCCATTTGAATATACCATAAAGTTTTTTTGTGCAACTTTTTATATTGGTGTTTGAAAGCTAAGTTACCTACCTTCCAGATTGTATTCCTTTCATTCTCTTTACAAATTCTCAGCTGAAAATTGTTTCTTTAGAGTTCCCATGTGAGGACTTAGTGTGCCATGACTTAGTGTATTCTTTTAAAAATCTGGTGCTGAAATTGCCACTGTCTTTTTACTTCCAGACTTGATTTTCTACAGTGTCCATCTCTATCACTTGAACTCGACCCCACACTAAAACTCATCCTGCAACAGTTGCTATCCCCAAAGTCTCTAATGCATCAATCATATCTATACCAAGTGCCATTGACTGGTTCTCCTATGTCTGTTCATCAATCTTCCATCTACAGTTTCACAGTTTTGACTATCCCCTTGTTTTTCCTAACTGCCTGACAGCCATATGCCTTTAACACCCTGCCTCTCTTTGCCCTGTTATCCATGAATATTTGACCAGCACTTGAATTCTTCTCTAATCTCACCACCTTGCATCTCAAGGTATCTTAAAATTCACCTTTTTTGGACATCTCCCTTTTTAATCTCTCTCTGGTCAGACTTTATTGTAGATTTAAGTGCTGAACCAATGTTTTTTTCATGTTCAACACTGGTTTCTACTTTTTTTTTTTGTAGACTGGTCTGATTAGGTTAGGTTACATTTCATTTTAACACTTAATTCATCAAACTTATTAAGGTAATCTAAAAGACAAAGCTCCATCCTTAAGTGCAGCCTATTGGCATGAATTATATGGTCTAAAAGAGAGTCTATCATCAGTTTTAATAACTTTGAAAAAAGTAACTCTTCCAGTAACTGACTTTCTAAGTGGCATTTCTTGCTGTGGATTTGCTCTGTGACTACAAAGAACCATGTAAAAGGAGACCATTCAGACCACATACTTGTGTTATTTCTTTGAGCAACCCATTTCGTCTCCCTCCCCTGTTCTTTCCCCTTAGTCCAACAGCTATTTTCCTTTTGAATATTACCACATTCTAAACAATGTGGGGGATATCCTCTTTAAGGAGCAAATTTTAAAATGGTCTAATGTGAAGTATTTTGCTTCATATAAATGACTCTTAAAGTTGAATCTCATTCTTTTGGGTACTATGTATTGTCCGTAGGACCATAGGATGTCGGAGGCAAAATAGGCCAATCGACCCACTGAGTTAGCTCCACCATTCAGTGCAATTGTAGATGATTAGATAATTCTTAACTCCATGTTACTAATGTTTCCCTGTAAACGCTGGATTCCCTTACTGATTTAAATCTCAAACAAATCTTAAATATGTTTAATGACATTAGCCCCTCTGGGGCAAAGAATTCCACAGATACACTATTCCCTAAAGAAATTTCTCCTGATCTGTCTTCAATGGGTGAGCCTTCATTCTGAGATGATGCCCTCTTGTCCCAGACTCTCCCTCAAGGGAAAACATCCTCTCAGCCTCTACCCTGTCAAGCCCCCTAAGAATTGCGTATGCTTCAGTGAGGTCACAACTCATTCTAAATTGAGTACGGGCTCGACCTAGTTGTTAAGACAGCCCCTCCATGCTTGAGATCAACCTAGTGAACCTTCTTTGGACTGCCTTTAATATCACCATACCTTTCCTTTAAATGAGGGAAACAAAACTGTTCACTGTATTCCAGGTACAGTCTAAACTGCCTTGTTTGTTTGGTTTTTAGTAACACCTCCCAATATTCATGCTCAATTCTTTTAAAATGTCCACCATTCCATTTTTATTCCCTTATACCTGCTGAACTTCAGGATATTTCTGGATCAACCTGTTCAGGAATGTTATGAAACCCCTCTTGGAGCGGATGGGACTTGAACATGTGCCTCCCAGTCCAGAAATGCATAATCTCCCACTTCCCCATATGTTCCATCTGCCATATTTTTGCCCACTCAACCTGGTTCGTGCTCTCTCTACAAACTGTCTTTCTCACTGCTTGCCTCCTCACCTATTATCATCTGCAAATTGTGATAGTATGTGCATTTCCCTCCCCTAAATCATTACATATTGTAAGTAATTTTTGCCCCAGTGCTGATCCTAGTGATACTCTACTAGTTACAGGTTGCAAACCTGGAAATGCCCCCCTTATCCCAACTTCGTCTTCTTTAGTTAGCTAAGCATCTATCCATGCTGATGTACTACAGCAATAGTGTTAGCTCTTAAGTAGCCTTTATATGCTGTACCTTTCTCAAACATCTGGATTTCAAAAAGATATAGTTGATCTACTGGTTCCCTGATCAGAATTCTAATTATTGTCAAGCATGATTTCTGTTTCATGAAGCTATGCTGACTCTGATTATATAAATGTAGTTTTTAATGCTATGCTATTACATCTTTTTAGTATAGACTCTAACATGTTAA